GGCACTTCAAATGGCCTGTACAAGTTAGACTTTAAGATGGAAAAAATTATCAGATTCTTATATCGTGTCAGGTGTTTACTCTGTTTCCATGTGAATGCACTCTATTGGTGGAGCCTTTCATGATTTTAGCCTCTACTGGTGTTCGAGAAGAGACAATCGACACAAGACAGTTATCGACGTGGGTTTAATTTAGTATTTTGTCTCGTGCTAAGTGTGGTTGCTGTCCATGGATGAACTGATTGGAGTAACATATTACTTTAGAGTGTGTTTTGCACTATGATGCTCCGACACTTCTCCTCAAAGATTCGTGCAATGTCCAACACATATCTGACACGACACGTGTCCGACACTCCTCCAATATGTATCGGACACACCAACAACGTGTCCGATTAAAAAAATATTAAATACAAATTGGACACACGTATCTTAAATATTTTATGATTTTTTAAATAGAATTTATTGTATTTAAAATTTAGACTTATTTAAAATATAAAAATTAAATTTCTTATTTTTCATCCACAACACCAAATCAATCGCCCGCACTTAATACCCCATTCATCAAATATTCTCATTTTCACTTCTCTTTGGTGGGTTACAATTTTGATTTCACAACAAATCCCTTTGTCATCTCCACATCGAAGTCTGATGTCGTTACAACATAAACATTTAAAAATAATATCTATATCAATGTATGATGCTATCATTACATTGATGCTCGATGCTAGCAATTTCTATACCCACAACTTGACATCTCATCTTTGTCCAACGACTTCTCAGCATCGACGACCAACGCCCTGTCAACATCGACGTTAAAAACCCTTTTAACATTGACGCCCAATATCTACTGCATAACATCAATACCTGACTCTCAATAGCATTGTCATCTCTTCTCTCGATAACTGATAAACGACATCGACACCCAACTCTCAATAGCATTGTCATCTCTTCTCTCGATAACTGATAAACGACATCGACACTCAACTCTCGACATCCTAATATTAATCATTTTAAGCACAAATTCTAGTTAAATGACTTATTATTTCTAAATTATTTTTAAAATTTTTCTTATTCAATTTTTATGCGCTATTTTTAAAATATAAAAACTACAATATCGTGTCCAATCCGTGTTCGTGTCCTATATTTTTAATAATTGACATGTCCCATATCCATGTCGTGTCATATCTGTGTCGCCGTGTCTATGTTTGTGCATCATTGGTTTTGCATATTCAAATGTTGTTTGCATATTCAATTGTTTTTAGTAGTTGAATAAGTAATTTTTTGAAAGACTGCTAACATGCAAGTAAACTAAGAAGCTCCTATAAAATCTAAAAATTGACTTTATGAATCACAAGAAGTTTAATTTTTTTTTTAAACTAGCAAGAAAATATATTATACTAGCAAGCATCTAGGGAATGACTGATTCAGTACATTAAGCATTCTGAAGTCTCTTCAATTTATAATATCTCCGTAGTTTCTCTTACAGAAAATTCAATATGTAATACTAAATGAAATAGCAATGCGACAAAAGATTTTTTAAAGCTGGTTAATGATTGTTGTGGAAATTATTTATGGGTTGCACTAGAGTAGAGCACCTTGATTAAGTTTAAAGCCAACGACGACATGGAAAGGCGATGATTGCTGAGGTACCAACTAAAGATGCTACATAAGCAAAAAAAATATAGAAAGGCCATATATTCATAGAGAATTCTAAGACCGTTTTGAACAGTGTTGAAAATGAAAAGTAGCAATTATACATTGTAATATCCGGTTTAAGGATGGGCCGGTTCAACGGAACTGGCCGGCCTCTAATAAGAGCCGTGACCCCCCTCCTAACAGCCCCGTTTTGTGAACAGAAAAGGGGCGGACGTCTGGGTAATAGCAAACACATGCGTGGGAAGTTTTGGATATTCTAGTTCGCCATTTTTAGCCATTCGTCATGTTTGGAGATAAGATTAAACCACTCCTTTTCATTCTTATTGTTAAGGAAGTGCTAAATTGGGAGAAATTTCAACGAACGAGAGGAACGGCTGGGAGGAAGAAAGAGAAGAAGGTTTATTTTTAATTATTTATTTCTGTATAAATCCTTCCCTAATTCTTCATCTAAACAATCATCTAAACAATGAGGGTGTTTCATTAAGGGCAAAGGAAGAGATTTGAATAATTCGAGAAATGAAGGAGAAGGATTTTGAGTTGGAATAATCCTCTTTTTGTAAGTGATGTTCTTATCATATGTCTTATGTTAGATTTTGTAGAATAAATCCTTAAAATTTATTTTATGGAAATTTTAGAAGGGAAAGGAAGAAATAAAAAATTTGAGGGAGTCTGACTCAGCAAATAAGAAAGGTCTTTTGAGGTAAAAGACATGAGTTAAGAATTTTATATCTTATCTATTTTGGAGAAATTCTTAATGATGGATTAGAAAGAATTTTGATTAACCTTGTGTGCTAGGTAAAGAATCGACGCTAATAAGAGAATATTCGGGAAAAATTGTCTCAAGAGTTGAAAGTATTGAAGTCAAAACATTCAAGTGGGTAATTATAATTATGAAATTCAATATTTTGTATTATTATTTCAAATATGATATAATGTTTTGTATCAAAATATTACTTTCAAGGTTTTATTTTTAAAGACTATCGTGTGTGAAATATTGAAAGTTTAAATACATAAATAAATGTAAATATTATTACAACAAAAAACATACGGATCAAATAACATGAATGAAATTATGTATATGAATGAAAAAAGATGTTATATGATACATGCATGTATTAAGGAAATATGTAAACGAAAAAATGACATATGAAAATGAATAAAAAGGTTCAAAATAAATGGAAAAGAGAGGAAAAGGATATGCATAAAAACTACAGGAGTTCACCCCCTTATAGTACTGGTTGGGAACGCCATACTCGTGCACGTAAAAAAGAAAAAGGTCATGGAAATAGAAAAGGAAAAATGGAAAGGTTGTACCTTTGGGTACATTGAGACGGTGCTCTTGTACGAATTAAATGGGAAAATGAAATATTAAAGTTTTAAAATGTTTTAAAGGAAAATGGCTGTATATGTATAAATTACTGAAATGAATGAAATAAAGTTAAAAAATGATAGGATGCATATTAAAGATTATAGTTGTATTGTAAATAAAGAATATTCATATTGATTGTTTTAATAGTTACCAGTTTAAACTCAAACCACTAAATTAATATTTTAGGTAAATCCCCAAAGAAGAAGAAATGGCTGAAAGGGAAAAATTCATGTATAGAAGACGACGTGCAAATGAAAACACGTAAAATGACTGATGAGAATGCTTAGTTCGATTTTAGATTGATTATAGTTTTCTTAGTGATTAGTGGCTCTTCAGTGATGAAAAATTTATGTTAATGTGTTTTAAATTGAAACGGAAGGAATTTGTAATATTGTTTGACTTTTCATTCCCGCCTCGTTAGATCAAACATCCGGGCTGGGTCGTGCCATACACTCACTGGTGTAGAAATTGAAGAGGAAGAGGGGTCCATGGTGGGTGCTGCTACCGTTTAAGGGAACTTGGGGATAAAGAAGATACATGCCAAAAATTCATTTGAATTGCCTTTCTTGAAGAGAAAGTATCCTCTTTTGGCCCCTGTAATTTTTCCAATTGCTTTACTTATCAATAATCTAGCATATCAAAATTTTGATTTGTAAGAAAAACATGTGATTAAAAAAATATCGCATGAGCACCTCTTCCATGGTGTTCTTAGTAGTGATATGGGGGTTTTGTGCTTGCATTTAGTGCAAATTTTGTCCCCAAAGGCCCCTTATGAAATTTTCTTCTCCCATAAATAAAGGCACTGCCAAGTCATTTTTGCTTTTCAATTTAATTTAGAGTGTGTTTTTGAGATTTTTAAAGGCTAAAATAAAGTTTTGTTTGTGCTCATAGGTGAGCTCTTTAGTTTTTTTGTAAATTCAATGTATCCAATTATGTGACATATTTATGGACTTGTCCTACTGGCCAGTCAAGCTGGTCTGGCCTGGATCGGCGCTGGTTTACAGCAAGCGGAAAATAGCAGGCCGCGGGGAAGAAAATTTGAATAGGGAAGGAGGCGGCTAGGAGGGAAAAGGAGGGGCTGTTTTGGGAAGTTTTTGGGATTGCATGCTTTAAGTAGATTTTTTCTTAGGGTTTAGGTTTTTTTTGTTTTGTTTGTTGAAATTTAAATTTGCTTAGGTGAGAGGGCTTTGGCCAGTAGCTAGGGATTTGGGAGAGCCGAATCTTCCTCTCCAATTGAAGATCCAATTGTATCTTGCATGTTCCTTCATAGTTCTTGCAATAAATATTGTTCTTGGGTGTTTTTCTTCCCAATTTTCATGTGTCGTTTGTTGATTTGGCTGAAAGTGCTTCCACTTTTGTTTGTTCATTTATATTTTCATTTTTTGCTGCATTTTTTGCCCAATGAATTATTTTAATTATTTCTTTTTCGATTCACATTAGCGAGAAATTTAACAGCATTTTGGCATCACCCTTGGGAATGATGTGTTTATCCATCACACTTCAAAAAAATATGCATAGTTAGTGTCAAGGATGCTATGATTGATGTCTTTAAACCCACCATGCTTAAGAAAGCGTATATAGGGATTCATGTACATGCAAGAGAAATAGAATATAATGAGAGAATGCATATATATATATATATATATATATTCTAACAGTATTATTTCCGCATTTTGACAAGTCATTCCATGTATCTTTTATATTGGTTCCTTTGCATGGCATGGTTTATTGTATTGCAACTGTACTACTCATTGATTAAAAGATAACATTAGCCATATTTCATTTATTATTTGGGTAAAGCTGGGTTTGCTTGTCTTATTGGTGTTCTTACTAAATGAAAATTTGCTGTTGATTTTGCACGATGAGTGAAAATGTGAAATCTTTGAAATTGAGGATGCGTTTACTATTAGCATGAATATGTAATGTGTTGTTTAAAGTACTAACCTGCTATATTCTTACATTTTTTTGTTCATTGCAGGTGCACTACAAGTTCAACAACCTTTCACTGCTTTGGGAGCCTCTGATGTTAATTTCCGGCTTCCTATTGCTTTTTGTTGCATGTATTGCGTACATGCACGCAGACTTGTCCATCTCTAAGTCTTCTGCTTCATATATTGCTAAACTTCAGTGGGATGAGGTGTGAATATGCTGACTGGCTTATAGAGCTATGTCATCATTTAATATTTTATTCTTAAATTTTAAGTGTTAAACTGCATATTTCTTTTTTATTCTAGGAAGTCAATTAAAATATTTTTTACTGGATATGCTAACTGGCTTATTGAGCTATGTTATCATTTAATGCTTATGAGTTTTCTTGCAATATCTCTTCCACTTTGTGAGTATAGAATTTCTAATTCGGATGTGATAAAGTAGATGTTTAACATAGCTTGGGAACTAGCATCACTGAAGCCACTCGGATTATCAACCATCGTGTGATCTCCAATTGCATGCTCATTTGCTTTGCTATGAAGTCTCAAATGTACTAACATAACTGCTGAACCATAGTTTTGGCATGAATCCAAAATCTGATTACTCAGTTAATTTGGCTGTTTCTTCACCTATCTCGGATTAGATAGCTTGTATCTCAACTGGTCTGTTGATGGTATTTGCTTGACCCCTATCGTTCTTTGAAATTCTTTGTTAGTTAAAGCTTTTTTCATTTGACTTGATGTATCGTTCTCCGGTTATTATTATAATCATGATTAAGCTCATTGATGTCAATATATCAAGATATCACTACATTTTGTAGTCTGTTTATTTCCCTCAGTGGCTCCACCATTGACATGATCATATTACTGTCACTGCATAATTTACAGTTATCTGCCTTATTTGGATGCGCATTTTGTCAACATTCAACGGTCCGTAGCTGAAGGATATTCTCTACCGAACAGTTAGTGTTATTTAACCCTTGTTTAGCCAAAAATATTTTGTCAACATTCTTGAGTCAGTATGAAACAAAGGACTGAATGCAAGAACATCTCAACTCTTTCAGATCAAGCTTCTTAAAGATGGACTTCTAGTTCCATATGGATTAAGAAGCATAATAGTTTTCCCGTGATGGCATCATTTTTGCTAATATAATCTCATATTTTGTGTCCACACGTCTTTTTTGAAAGCTCTAACTTTCATCTTCTGGTAGGTGCAAGCCACTGTCCAGCAGGTTCAGAATGTCATCAGAAGGTGCTTATCAGCTCATGAAAAGCTGGAGACCTCATTACAAGATCTCTCCAGGACTGGGGATGTTCACTCTTGTAAAGCAACTCGGAAAATAGCTGATGGATTATTGAAGGAATTGTCGAAAGAACTGAAACCCTTGATGGGTTTTTTGCAATCATCTCCTCAGGCTGCTCAAATATGGCCTAAGGTCTGTAGATGCTTATTTTTTAATGTTTCTTTGGCTTTGAGCAATCATTCCTGTGCTATGCTTAAGTCGCTCACTCTGGAATCCTGAGTTATGAAATTAAATCTCTTTGATATCAGTTTTCCTCTAAGTGACATTTGAGCACGTCTTCCTATAGATTGGTTCTTGAATTTGTCACCTTAGCTTGCTGGACTTGCTATCAGTAAGGGCGGCACGGGGATCATTTCTTAAAAGAAATATCTATGGCAATTGCTTTAATATTTGAAATACTTATATTTTTGGTCAAGTTTTTATCAAAGATAAGAGATTTGTTTCTTCAAAGAAATTTTTTTTTGTGATAGACTCGTTTGAAATTGTCAGACATTTTTTTTAAGATAAACTTTCTCAAGGGAGTTTGTCTGTAAAACTTTCATCCCATTATATTATATGATTTAAGGGGGAATGACCTGTTTGCCTTTTTTAAAGAAGGGGTATTAAGGCCTATTTTAAAATAGGAATAACATTTGTTTTTTATGCACTATTTTTTGTGTTTATATTATTTTATTTTATTTTGAATCAATTGTTTTCCATGCAGTAAGCTCTCTTAAGATGAGATCTTGTTATGGAGGTTGTTTTGCTTTTTAAAGCCCTTTTAAATTATTTCTACATAATAAAACACTTTTATGCATTTTGGGGAATTTTTCAAGTGGTCTTCATTCCAAACTTGAAGTGGGTTTAAGTGATGTTTTAACTTAAGCATGACGCACCATTAGCCCCTTGCATTATTTGAGTTGGATGCAGGGAAAGAAAGCGGGAAAAGGTACCGAGGTGCTAGAATGATGCATAGGCAAAAGGATCTTAATGCATGGGGTGATATAATTCTTCATCCCATGTGGTTTCATTTGTCAAATATAAATCACCCAGAAAACTAAGGTCTATTTTTATTATGTTCTTTTAGTTACCATTTTGGGTTTTTGGGTTTGTATTAGCTTAGGATATCTAAAGTATTCTAAGTTGCCTAGGAAGTTAAATGTGTGACAGACATCAAAAGCTCTCTTAAGATGAGATCTTGTTATGGAGGTTGTTTTGCTTTTTAAAACCCTTTTAAATTATTTCTACATAATAAAACACTTTTATGCATTTTGGGGAATTTTTCAAGTGGTCTGCATTCCAAACTTGAAGTGGGTTTAAGTGATGTTTTAACTTAAGCATGACGCACCATTAGCCCCTTGCATTATTTGAGTTGGATGCAGGGAAAGAAAGCGGGAAAAGGTACCGAGGTGCTAGAATGATGCATAGGCAAAAGGATCTTAATGCATGGGGTGATATAATTCTTCATCTCATGTGGTTTCTTTTGTCAAATATAAATCACCCAGAAAACTAAGGTCTATTTTTTTAATGTTCTTTTAGTTACCATTTTGGGTTTTTGGGTTTGTATTAGCTTAGGATATCTAAAGTATTCTAAGTTGCCTATGAAGTTAAATGTGTGACAGATAAAATGAAGAAGAAATTTATTACTGTATTTTCAAATATTTCATTAGTCGTTTATATGCATATTTTTTCACTTTTCTTTTGGTGAAACTATTGCAAAAGCTTTGATAACTTGGGGGGAGCTAAGAGATTTTATATTTGTTTAATATATAAAGAATAATTATACTAGAATTTTGGATATATAAAAGATTGTTTTTAGGATGCAAGTCCATATTTGCCACCTAATTCCAACTGGATTTGTTTGGAGATCCAATTGGTGGTAATTCAGCATTTTAAAGCTAGCGAATCAACTCCCTTGTTTTCCTACCAAGAGATAATACATGTTGCCAAGTCCCAATGCGCACTTGATCATCTATTACTGGGGTTAATAAAATGTAGGCCATTTTCATTTTAAGAATTCATCTCATCTGCAAGTTTAAAAAATTATAGAAATTGATGTTATTTTTGCACAAAATACCGACATTCTAGTTGCAGTGGAAAAATTTGTAGTGTAAAATTATGTCTATGGTTTTATTATGTAGAAGGGGAGGCTTAGATCCACTGGAATTATCATTTACTGTTCTGATTTTCTTGAACCTTCTTGCAGTGGTAGAAGCTTGAGTGTGAAAGCCTAATGGCATACACTTCCGCTTGTAACTCAAATGAAATTGACCCATTTTGTAATATGACATTCTGCAAATTGCAAAATGCTAATGAGTTTGTCATGCTTATTAATGATTCCTTTCATACATGTGCATACAAAAATTAACAATTATGTTTATTTTCTCTAGTTGCATATGTAGATACATAGTAGCAATTTTTTTATACGCTTCTATATTTTATGTGAGAAAAGTCTCCCTCAAACTTAAGGTTAAATTCTATAAGATGGTTGTGGGCTTTGAAAATTCGGCTCCAGCCTCCGCCCGCTATTGCTTTTCTTCGGGGTGGGAGTTTTAACAGAATTAAGTTCCGGGATAAATTTTGGAAGGCATATGGGTTTGTAGATAAGACACTACCCAGAGATTTCGCCCTCATTTTGCGAGGACTTTATGATATGAGTTTTGGATTTCTTTAGGCTCAAGCCTCTATAGTTAATTACCCCTCTCGATAACGAGAGAGAACTTTCGATTAAGGCTATTCGTCAATTAGATACGTAGAGAATACGTGTTATCTGGCATATAGTAGCAACATGGTTATGAAATTTGGAAATTGAGAGGTTGATATTTAAAATTAGAAATTTCACCATCTTGCACTTAAAGCAGATGGTGGGGGAATGGATGATAGACCCGATCAAGATCCCATGGTTCCGTCATCCCGGGCCATCGTAGTCCCTGATCTACTTAGTAAGAGGAGATAGTCGACCCAACCTGACAGAAGGATCCTTGTCGGCAGTCATGAGTTGCTTCGTCCAAAGGGACCTTGTAGACCTAGGGGGAGTATTTGCCTAAGGGGACAAATTTGAATCCACCTTAGCTAACATAAGGTTTTGTGCCCTATCGATCATATTCTATTAATTCATATCTCAAAAATTTGATGTCATTAAGGAACGTATTGGTACGTGTCCCCGGGTCATAACCGTTTATCCTGCGGTGCCATTTGACGGCAAAATCACCGATCAGAGGACACGTACCACGTTTTTATTGGCAGAAGATTATTTGAGAATGGATCCTAATGATATTTTCGACTAGGCATTAGCTCTTTGTGAGCCGAAGTACATTTCAATTTGTCCACATCGGCAAACTGTTGTGGAGGGTGGATGAATTTTACTTTTAGTGTTTTGATGGTTGATTTCAAATTTAAATATCCTGGACTTGATGATTTTTGGGAAATTTTGATTTTTGATTTGGTGGGTGTTTGAATGATATTTTGAAATATTTGGAGTTAACCCCTCCGGTTAAGATCTGCATTCAACACGGTCATTATCGGGGTGTTTTGGGTCACTTTCATTTCATTGACTGGACCTTGTTGACTCTGTTAGTTTACCGACAGAGGATCGGGTTCGTTATAGGCTTTGTGCCTTTATTAGTGAATTCTCATTGTTATATGCCTTGAAGGCCTAATATGAATGTATTAAGATAAATATATTGGTCGTCACCACCGTATATTTGTTTGATAGTTCGAACCCTATCGACTCCTATTGATACGCATAGAAGGATCGGGTTTGAACTTGAATTCAATTAGTGGCCCGCGCAACATCCCTATACGCCACCTGTATACTTATAACACGCTCGCCGGGGCCCATGCGGGTGTTTGGGGGCATTTTGTAATTATTTACTGAACCTTGTAGACTCCTATTTACTTGCGTAGGAGGATTGTGTTCAAATTTATTGACTCGCGCAGTATCCCTAGATGTCACATATGTTCCTACAACGTGCTCGTTAGGGCCATTGCGGGTTTATGATTACACTTACCCCTTGTGTACCTATGTGTATGCAGACTACAGTGCATGTGCAGGGGCATTCTTGGAGTATTCAACGGGTCTTTTACGACGGCTCATAGAAGTCTGTATTTATCGTAACACTTCAATATTTGTAGAAGATATGTTGGACGCACGACCATTATTCATCAAGAAACTTGCAAGTCTCAATAATATTATCCAAACTCAATGTTCAGAACTTGGTTGAACTAAGATTAATTCCATCTTGATTTGATCTAGCTTTCTCATCCCAGAACTTGTATTGAGATCGATAGGAAACTCCTAGGTTATGCCATCATCATCACTTTCTATTGTTGTCTTTAAATAAAGGATCAATCCTTTCAATCTTGGATGGCTATATTCTTACCGATGTCCTGTACCTCCGGATTAGTGATCACTACCTTGAGCTGTCAACTATAACAACTGAATCTGTATCAGGTTGCCCAGGAGATTCTTACAAGATATCAATTCCTAAAATACTTATTGCAACCCTCAGGATGATTGGGATAACAATTGTATTTCCTATTTGTAATTGTGAGTTTAGGCCGCCAATCTTTGCATTAACCTTTGACATCATATTTGTCAAATATTGATCATAAACTCTGGTGGGTGCAATGTAATGTGCTTCAACATTCACTTGAATCTATTCATATGCATCATACTGTCATTTTCATTGTATATAGGCTCTTCGAAGTTGCAACTTAACACATTGAATGTGGGATAAATCTCCTGTAGTATCATTGAACACTTCTGTTTACAGAAGATGGATGTATCTAAGTGGTGGACATTCATATTTTTCTCGCCTGTCTTTCGGCGTTCATAAGGACCAATGTGTATGCTTGCAAGATAACTGGCCTCGGTCGTAGGGAGATTTTCAGCTTTGTAGCTTGTCCACTATTGTCATTCATGAGAGAACGGGTACTCTGCTTGTCGGTTGATGCTTGCTACTTGTGAGTGTACCATCCTCCTTTCATCACTCTTTAGTCGCCGTTTACAAATAGTTCTTTATCTTGTGCTAGCCATAACATTCATCGAGAACTATTGCATGGTGATTTGTAGGTTGAAGTGTCACATCTCTTGTAATTTCTATTGTTTGTTGCTTGAGGACACATCACGTTTGATGTTGTGAATGATCTCG